TAGAATTTACAAAGTTTATATAAGGTTTTGTTTTATATTTAGGCTTTTGAAGCTCCTCATAATTAAGATTTTGTTTCTCAGCTCCTTATTGTATTTATTATTTCTCCTAGAAATCAGGCTTATAAAACTTCTTATTAAGAGTTACAAAATTGTAATTAGGTCTTTCACTTCCTAATTATGAGTAACAATTCCTAACTAGTTATAACTGGGTGTAATAATTTGTAATAAGGTTTTTTTTATCTCTCCTATTTAAGAGTATCAAAGACGTAATTAGGCTTTTATAACTCCTAAACAGAAGTAATTTAGTCATAATAAGGCTTTGAAAACTCATTATAAGTAAAATAAGTTTTTTAAAGAACATTTAGATTTTGCATTGTTGTCATTTTATTAGAGTTTTTCGACCATGTCACCACATACATGCATCGAGGACATATTTGGGGAAAGTAACCATGCGACCACATACACGCATCACAGGATTCCCCTTCTCATAGGAGAAAGGAACAAAGAGCTGCCCGCCCTTTAATTAAAGGTTACACTGTACATATTTGCAAGCCTTATGTTAACCTGCTGACTTTTCAACCTTCCATCTCTATTTTAAAATGTCTTTCAATCTTGGAATATGAATAAATTTCTAAAGTTAGCTATAAGTACAGAGCCGGTTTATTTTGTACGGATGTTAAGCCTGGCTTATATGTATCTCTATAGGTAATTAGAACATAATAGAACATGACTTTCATTTTTTTAGATTTGAGCATTTCGCTTCTCATCCATAACATAATTTTACATTATTGTGTCCAACTCAAACAATATCATGATATAATACAATATTGTATCTCTATAGGTTAGATTAATGCATTGATTTTCCGACATACTTTTATTTTAAGAAATGACCCATAAACCTACCTTAAAATTGAGTATTCATGCTCAAGCTGTGATTGGTCTAAATGAGTGATATGCATGGTCTTGTTATATGGGGTGGACCGACCAAACTTTCACAGAACTTTTAAACTTTCATCCAATCACCTGATTTCCCATTGAATCTTACGGTTTCCTGCACGTTTTTTCAACTAATCGCTTGCCTTGTTACAATGCAGTAATCTGACCTATACTGGTAAAATAATTTCGGTTCCAACAGTGTAAAGATGCAGTGATGTTAACAGTTGCCATATTTACACAATTGCTTCTGATCGAAGTTTATTAAAAGTCTAAACAAATTCTATTATACAGTTTTCAAACTGTCTTTTTATCTACGTAACATACTTTAAAACATTCATTTGTTATATTTTCTCACGATCGAAAAGTTATCAATGCGATAGGTGCATCGAAGAAACACTTTTTAGAGTTTGCAATTATTTTTTTGTTCAATAAGATTGCAGTATTTCAAATGAATCGTAACACATTAAATTTGGTAAATCGACAAGCTATGAATCAGTCTAGTAAATCAACTGTTTATAAAGATAACTTGAGCCGCGTCATGACAAAACCAACATAATGGGTTTGCGACCAGCATGGATCCAGACCAGCCTGCGCATCCGTATCGCATTATTTTTTATCAAAAGGAAGAAAAATCTATCTCATCTCTTTGTCAAAATTTTGTAAATACGAACTAATAAACTTTAACCTATACTTAATGGCACACAGTAAACGTAACTTCAAATCAATTCCATTAATTCAATGCCAAATCAAATTACCTGTTAAAAACAAAGAATAAACTCAATAATGAGTGACATAACATATTATCAACATACATAAGAAAATTTGGTTGTAGTAGTGAATTTTGTAACTGCGTGTCAATAAAATGTTTTTTTCCGATGCACCTTTCGCATTAACATCTTTTCTATCACGAGAAAAATATTATAAATGATAACCCCAATTGTGTAAGATAACGAATAAAAGAAGTAATTAAAGAGTGAGCTTGATTTTCCGTCAGACTAGTACATGTAGTCATTTTCGGAGCATTTTCCCTCATCATAGGCAGTCTTGAACCACAACGGCAGCAATTTTCCTTCGGAAGCCTGTCACATTCTCAGGAAAACTCACACTGGTTTGAAATTTTGCGTAGTTACGTCGGGCAAACATACTGTAGGTGACCGACAAACACAAAATATAAAAAATCTGATCTGAGATTAAATTTTAATTGAAATATTTTAGAATAATCTCGATGTGTTAGATCCATCTCAGGCTGATGTAGTTCGAATCAACGACATCTGCGTTGCTAAATGAAAATTACCAAGAGACTCTTTGGCATCAATTGTGATCGTCAATTTGTGATACCTACTAAGATGACTTTTATTTCAACCAATAACTTTGTACATCACAGCAAATCCTTTCCTCGAGCTGTCCCGATTCATATCCAGTCCCCAGATAACGTTACATCGTACCATCGCGTTTTCATCATCGTACAATCGCGTTTTCACCATCGTACCATCGCGTTTTCATCATCGTACCATCGCGTTTTCACCATCGTACCATCGCGTTTTCATCATCGTACAATCACGTTTTCATCATCGTACCATCGCGTTTTCACCATCGTACCATCGCGTTTTCACCATCGTACCATCGCGTTTTCATCATCGTACCATCGCGTATTCATCATCGTACCATCGCGTTTTCATCATCGTACCATCGCGTTTTCACCATCGTACCATCGCGTTTTCATCATCGTACCATCGCGTTTTCACCATCGTACCATTGTGTTTCCATCATCGTGTCATCGTTTCATCACGTTTTCATCATCGTACCATCGCGTTTTCACCATCGTACCATCGCGTTTTCACCATCGTACCATCGCGTTTTCATCATCGTACCATCGCGTATTCATCATCGTACCATCGCGTTTTCACCATCGTACCATCGCGTTTTCACCATCTTACTATCGTGTTTTCATCATCGTACCATCGCGTTTTTACCATCGTTCCATCGCGTTTTCACCAACGTATCATCGCGTTTTCACCATCGTGCCATCGTGCTATCGCATTTTCACCATCATGCCATCGTGCATCGCGTGTACAGACTAAATAACAAATCGCGATTGTCCAAACGGAACACCGTATCATTGCGACATTTAACGGCAAAATAGTTTGGGACATTTAGTGGCGGTTACAATATTAATGTGGTAAAAGCGCGACATTTAACGGCAAGTTGCGACTTATATCGGCGCCGCATAACAATGGGCGGAACTAAACAAAATGTAATTTTGAAAGGGTAATGATGCCTCCCTTTACAGAACTATTGGGTGCGAGTTCACCATGTACATAAAAGATGTTCGCTTTTAACCAATCTATTTGCTATGGTAATGTCGTGAAACATTAAAAGAGATATTAATCCTATTGCCTGTGATCTTCCTAACAAACGGCATTAAATTGAAAAACAAGAGCTGTCGGTAGGACAGCATGCTCGAATATTCTAAGTGCTTGATAGTAAAAGAGCCTTGATAATGTTAAATTTTTTAAGTTCACAAAAGGGCTAATTTTTTTTATAAATTCATGTTATAGGCCTTAGAGAGAGTCTAATTATACAGTATTGGCTTTACTATTCGGAAGGTAATGTCACAAGGGTGTTTTATTGAGTATAATAATACTAATTACCTATGACAACGTAAATTTGACAGAAAAGGTACAAAGGCTTGTTATTAAGATGTTTTATCAAGTAAATCACTGCTTTATTATTATGAATGCATCAAATTGTCCCAAAAAGGCACAAACCCTTCCATAGTTATGGAGATAACAGCTTACAAGCAAAACTTTACCATGAATTTCTAAGTTGAAAAAGGGGAGAAAACCCAGCCTAAATGCAAGATAGAATTATGGATCTTTGTCAGTGACCTACAATTATGACCCAAAATGCATATGTGAAGTTTTAAATAAATATCTTTAATAGTTATTGAGATATGTAAAACTTGCATGTAAACATTAACGAAGAGACTAAGTAGAAAAGGGGATATGAATCAGCCTTAATGCAAGATAGAGTTATGGAACTTGGTCAGTGACATACAATTATGACCCTCAAATTATGACCCTACGTACATGTGTAAAGTTTCAAGTAAATGTCTTTGAAGACCAGTAACCTTTAACCAAAATTTCTAAGTTTCAAAGGGGCAAATAATTCTGCAAATATTACAGGCAAAGTTATGCAATTTTGAAAACTGATGTACATTGTTACTATAAAAAAGTATTTTAAATTTCAATTGAATATCTCAAGCAATATTGAGATATTTGACTTTACAAAAAAAACTTTAACCAAAATTTCTAAGTTCCAAAGGGGCATAATTCTGTCAATATTGTAGGAAGAGTTATCCAACATGTCAATCTGATGTACCTTGTTACTATAAATAAGTATTTTAAGTTTCAATTGAATATCTCAAGCAATAATTGAGATATTTGACTTTACAAAAAACTTTAACCAAAATTTCTAATTTAAAAAGGGGCATAATTCTGTCAATATTGTAGGCAGAGTTATCCAACTTGTCAATGTGATGTACCTTGTTACTATAAATAAGTATTGTAAGTTTCAATTGAATATCTCAAGCAATAATTGAGATATTTGACTTTACAAAAAACTTTAACCAACGCAGACGCCGACGCCGGGGCGACTACAATAGCTCTCATATATTCTTCGAATAGTCGAGCTAAAAATCAAGAAATTTCGTGGTGAATGGCTGATTTCGTTATTGATATCAGGTTCTTTCAAATTTTATTTGAATGATCCTGTTGAATGATCCCGTTGAATTATCCTGTTGATTTATATAGACTAATTAAATCCTTTTTTTTTTCATTTAAAAAGCTATTGACTGAACTTTCTCTATATATTAGTCGTATAAAAAAATTACAACTCTCTCTATAGACCAAACTTGTCTTTTGCCAAATATACACGACAACACATTGCTGGGATAGATTTTTAAAAGCTAACTGTGCTTTTTTGTTCATTTTTCATTCTTCAACAAAATAGTAAGAATCTTGTCAAATTTACCCTTTTTGATTGGATTCGTCACAAAATAAATAAATTAGTTTGCGACTCTGTGTTTTCCGCCAGTCAATTTATACATTCATCATGTATGTATGTATGTATTGAAAAAAAATCCGGGCTGATTCTCCAAATCTTGCCTTATCGTAAAAGAATTTCATAAAAGAAATAATTATAAAAAATTCATTACATGTTATCAAAGTAACATTTATTGCATATTAAGTCTAAACTGATATCTTAAAAGAAATTTTGTCATCGGTTATTTAAATGATCGCACATTGCCTTTCATTTTCTTACAACATTGTAGACTTTATCAACTGTCTCTACTAATCAAATTGATATCGTTGTGTGTTTTTTTCAATACTAACATTGCGTAATTGAATTCAGTGAAGCATAGAGTATCATATAGCCTGCCCTTCTGTACTTCCGTACTTTGATTATACTCGTATTAGTTGCATGATGAGCAGCCATTTAACTGCAGAGAAAAAGTTCGAATTACTGGAGCTTATGTATGTCTTAGCTCCTGCAGGTCACGTTATTTTGAACTCTGCTGTTGCTTTTAGTTAGTTACTCCCGAGGTTAGCCAAAGTAATCCTTCCTGTTTCAACGCCTTATGACTTAAATTGTGTTGGTACGCCGTAAAACCAAACAAATTCAAAATACAAAATGTATTAAGATTTATAGCATAAGAGAATACTATATACAATTATATACATGTAAAATGGCTTCTTCGAATCAGTCATTAATAATCCGCTGGACATTAAAAGTTGCATTTATTTTTTCTTCTTAATATAAAGTTCTATGAGTCTTTCTGCCTGTTGAATACCTGAATCCCGTGCTCCATGTGTACAGCCATTAGTCAACGCTTCTCCTGCGAACATAATAACAGGTCCACCAGATGGCGTCGTGATCGGTTCAGATAGTATCGTCTGCTCCCCTGGAATCATTCTTTTCGTTTGGTGAAAATACGATCCCAGCACATACGGATTACTACACCATCTTGAAACCAAAACCGCCTTTGGTTTTGGGATATTTCTATTGCCCAACAATTTACGAAGAAGCTCTACGCAAATTTTACCAATTTCGTCATTTGACAGCGTTTCCATGTACTCTGCAGCGTCACCAGCAATCCACCCAAGAAGAGTGTTGTTCTTTGTGAATATTTGATCAAAACCAATTATACGCTTGTACCAATCATTCTGAACATTTTTAATGGATGTGTCATCCCAAGCAAATGCTATACTGCGATAAGTCGGTGCTAATATTGGTTCGTCAAACTGCAAAAATATTTTATTCACTCGCCCTAGTTTTAGCGAATTCAGTACATCAATTTTTGATTGAGGAAGTTTCGGTTTGAACAGGGTTTCGTGATGCCTTTTAAGGTAACTAATTGATGACGTCACAATAACATGATCTGCTTCGAAAGTTGACTCATCTCTGGTTTTAATTTTGATTGATTTATCATCTCTATTATTCCATAAGATTTCAATCACTTCCTTTTGCAACATGAGTGATTTCTTTGGAATCGACTTCATCAGATGTTTTAATATCTGATCATATCCGCCTGGTATGTAAACATCGCCGCCTTCCGGTAAGTTATACTCGTCCCTGTACTTTTCCCATGTGACTTGTTCCAGTTCATCGCCATCATAGTAGCGTACAAAATTCAGCATCGCATTCCATACTCTTTTCGTGTCCTTTGTGCAACTTAACTCGCCCTTATTTCTCTCTATTTCTTTAGCCAGTCGTTCATGTATAAGAGGAGCAACAGTGACTATCCGACCATGACGAATTCGTTCATTCGGCAGTATTTTGTAAACATCGTCTGCAACTTTATTGAAAGAATGAACAGCATCTTTTACGATATCTTTTTGTATCTCGACTCCATCTTCAGTTATAAATCTAGAGATTCTGAGGAACAAGAAGACAAAAATATTCGAATTAACGGCGCCAATACCAACAATTTATTTCTATTTAGCGAAGCATCTGTGTAAAAAAATCTATTGAAAAATTTGTAATAATAATAATGATAATGTAAAAATAATAATGTTAAAAATATCTTTTCCCAAAGAATGTATCATATGAAGATATAAGCATCGTATACAAAGCAAATGTCAAAATTCGACTATACCGCTTTTCAGAATGTCTTTTTTATTCTACAACCAACCAATGTCAGGCTTAAAAACAACATTTTCTCTAATGCAATTCATGAATACATGATCGAAGCCGCAAAATGTACTAGAATTTTTATTATTTAAATACATGTCTTTTTCAAAAGTCTTAAATATCGACCTATTCATAACCTGGTACGGTTTTAATGCCCCAATTGCGTCTGCTATCCGAAAAACTGAATTTTGTTCACTGGGACCATGTATCCAATTGGCCCCTAATTCAACAGGGAATTTATCATCACCGAACGGAACTGTGTAAATCCGGCCACCAATTCTGAAAGATAAAACGAGGATGGTGGGCCCAACTTTTTTTTCGCTTAAAATGTTTCTGTTATCATATTCTTACAACATGCCAAGTTTAAACAAATTCTATTGAACAGTTTTTAATTTTGCCTATATGTCTATATGAAAACTCCCGAAAACGTCCTTAATACGTTTTTATCTTCTTTCTTTTTCTTATACATATGTCTGAAATATATATTTCAGAAGCGCAAATCAGTTTTCGAGTTTCAAAGTTAGCTTGCTTGAACAAATGAACACTATTTTACAGATACACATATACATTGTATTTATGTTTTCGTCGTGTTCAGTAACTAGTAAAGTGTTGCAGTTACTTCATGAAATTGTTCTGATCGGCATTGGCCGAGGTACCGTGAGATATTTTTTATGCGAATGTACATGTTTTTGACAGTAGCTAATCACTTGAAATAGTTGACAGACGTGGAGTCTATGTCTTTGTAATGATATTTTCATGTTATAATAGTGAAAAAGAACAAACAACACTGCAGCATATTATTTTCGGGGTGTACGGACATAATCCCCTTCGGACAAAATCCCCTTCATGTATTTTTGTATATCCGGACATAATCCCCTTCATGGGTGGACATAATCCCCTTCATGTGTGAAATTTTGAAGTGGACAAAATCCCCTTCATAAAATTGCTACCTAGGACAAAATCCCCCTCAGAGGAATTTTTGTTTTTTTAAGTGGGTATGAGAGCCACATACTGCATTATGCTGTGTAGTAAATATCTTAATGTATAAATGAGTAGAACATATTTGTAGAAAAGCACATTTAAATCACATTAAAATTGCTTTGTTAAAGCATTCATAACAATCAATCAAGTAGTGCAATGATCTTGGTTTGATTAAATTATCACTCTTTCATCAATAGAAATTGTAACAATGGATAGTATCTATCAATTAGAATTATCAACTTATACAATCAATGAAACAATTATTGGCTAATAAAAATGTTTTTCATACTAATCAATTTAAAACTATTAAAGAAATTGCCTAATCAAATATGTGTTATGCAGTTGATAATTTACCATAATTTTAATGAAAACTTCTAAACTAAATAAAGGTAACTATTGATACATAATTATAAATAAAAAAAAAAAGTTCATTATTCATCAATTTTTATGGAGCATAATAATACATTAGAAACCTATGAAACAAGGGGATTTTGTCCGGGTAGTGAAGGGGATTTTGTCCAGCCTTGCAAAAAAATGAAGGGGATTATGTCCACCCATGAAGGGGATTTTGTCCGGGTAGGTGAAGGGGATTTTGTCCGAAGGGGATTATGTCTGACATTCTATTTTCGGAGGTGCCGATACAAAGTTGGGATTGCTGATTGTAGTAAGATAATGTTTATGTTAGGCGGGAACTGCATTTATTTCTTGCTCGTGATTACAGATAAGTTTTTAATCTGAAGGTCATTGGTTTGTCGAGAATCTATGGCTCCTTTGAAAATTTATTTTGTGAACAATTATAACAAATAGAAAATATATGTAATAAAAAAATAAAGGCATTTTGTAAAATCTTTAGGTTGTGTCACATTATTATTTATGAGTTTAGATACTGTATAAAATTCTCGAAATTAAGCACAATTGCCATAATTGTTTAAGTGATTTCATAATGTCTCTGTCAGTAACCAGCCATGTTAACCGTTGGTCTGCATCATTACACCAATTCGACTGTCATCGGCAGTTTAACAAAACAAAACTGAAATCATAACTCTATTTATTACATTATGATGATGTACGGTTTATGGTGCAGATGGTTTGTAACTAAACACCCAGGGCTATGACCTTCTCTACTGCTGATCTAAATGCGTGTAATATTACACGATGATGCACTCCAACATATATCTGTTCCCTTTGCAAGTTCTTGTTTGATGAATCATTCAATGCACCAAATAAAATAAAAACAAACCTTTCGGCAGCTTCAACTATAAGAACTCTTTTAAATCCGACATCAACCAAACGTCTTGCTGCAGATATTCCCGCAATGCCTGCACCAATAATGATAATCCTCGGCTGCATCTTCAAGACGATCATTGCGTTCTCCGTGTTAAAAAAGTTTATTATTTTATGTATCAACATGTATATCATCACATTTTAGGAGTCTATTAAAACATGATGATCTTGATCTTACAAATGTAGATTTATTGCAACGCTCCATTGCAGACGTGTCACAGGTAAAATATGAGTTACTTTAAGCGCTCAAAATACTAAAGACATTTATTATAGGTATTAAACAAGAGCTGTTAGTTAGAAAGCGCGCCCGAATATTTTTAGTTATTGACAAATAAGAATCTGTTCTATTTGCATGATTATTTACTGACAATACAATGATCAAAATCTGATAATAAATCAAATGAATAATTTTTAGATAACTAAAAGGCGGAGTCATAAATCATTACATAAACATATCAGAATATAGTGAAATTGCATTGTATTGTGTTCTTAATAATACCTTACTTAAAATTGTGATTTGAAAGACACGTCTAGGTAGGGTTCGGGCGCTATTGTCGCAGTAGTGTGACTAGACAACGTGAAAACATGCCATGGTTAGACTATACGTTACACATTTACTCTAATTGGACCCTCACAATATGATACCCAACTATCTCACCTAAAGTGCTTTCACACCTGGATAAAAGACTGATTAAAGAACACATGTTTTTTTATACACTATGTGATGTATAATTAAAACATAGAATACCTCGTACGTCAAACAAATGCTGTGAAAACAATTACGGTTTGCAGAATGAACGAGAGTAATGACAACACAATACTTTTTGTTTTGGTTGGATTTATGTCGCACCAACACAGTAGAGGTAACATGCGGCCTTTCCAGCTTTACGGGTGGATGAATATCTCTGCATTATTTCAGACAAGAGCACACATGAAGAAGAACTAACGACGTTCCATAAGCTAGCTGGATAGCTTCCTCACATGAAAGAATCCAAAGTCCCTTTCGGGTTTCTAATCCTCAGTGATGAGGGGCAAGTGGTTTGATGTAAACGACCTAAAACACATACAATAAACTATTTAATACACAGTTTTTTTTATTCGTAAATCAAGACAAGTCATAGTCCTTTTAATGGGGCGCGCTGTTTTCTAAACGAAGTATGGGGGTAATAGTAACAAAAAAGGGAAACTCTCATGAATCGATGGATTCACAGTAGGCACAGCAGCACCCAATGCATGATCAACCAATGGGGTAGGCTCAGATTTTATTATCATCTGAGACCTTATAGTTTTAGTGTTTTACTATGCCAGAGCATCCCCTGAACCAAGAAAGACCAGAGACCCAAATTTCCCATGCCAAACATGTAACGCCTAATTCAACCAGTAACTCATACTTAAGTCAGGTATGGTAAATAGAACTATCTCTATAGGAGGTATACTGTAAACCTCTTCTTCCAAACAAGAACATGTTGCCGAACATTTATGTTATTATAAGTATATTATTTTCTTGTATATGTTGTATGTAAAATCTACATAGAATTTCAAAAAATCGCAAAAGATTTACCTTTACCGACACAAAAATTCGGTGACATGCACTAGCTTGGAGTTAGTAACAAAGCAATTTATCCTATAACTTTGAACATGCTTGGAGGAAATAATATAGGCATTGAATGGTTTCACGAGTGACAAGGGCAAATTAACCGTTCTGTGACACCATGTGACTGAAAACTTTCATTTAACCGACAATACAAACATCCTGGCCAAGGTCGGCTTTGTCGGCACCCCTCCAATGGACCAATGGAATGGGATGGAGACAGAAGGGTGGGTGATATGCCACACATTTGGCTGTGGGATAAACCATTATCCATCAGAGGCAGTCTTTGGTACTAACACGTGTTGAACGTGCTGGACCAATTAAAGTCCAAGAGGTATTGTTTCAAATTGCCACGTGTATTAAGTCAATCTGTAATAGGGAATGAAAATGTCACAGCTTTGGAGTTGGGAGTTGTCTGAAGGGAAGTCGCTCAGGGTCATGCACTGAATAATGTTTATGCTCAACTTTACGGCTTTAGTGTTGGTCATTGGCTAATTAAGAGTTTATATATCATCGTTTAATTTGGATATTATCAACATATCGAGGCATTAAGATAGATTCTCTCATAAACCTTCTTGGCAGATTATTGCATTGTTTTGGCATTACCATTACCCCTTGTCAAAATTGTTTATCCCCTTTGGCCAGAATTCTTGGACTCGCGCTCGCTTAATGAATAATATAACCATTTCGAGGAAATTAAAATTTTCGTGGTTTAGTTTTTCATGTATTCTTCTTTACGCATTACAAATATACTTCAGCGTAATTCCATAGTTGCACAATACTCGTAATCAAAGAAGCTTACACAACATTAATAATGTTTTTTTGCATAGATTAAAGAAATCATTACTGAATCAAAGTTACTCATTTTCATGCACGGTTCTCTCTATATAACTGTTAGAATCGTTTACTTTGCCTTGATTTTGAGTCTAATATTATAACAATTAAAACACAAATTATCACGCCTAGAAAATAACAAAAAACTAAATACCACATCCAAGGACACAGCGAGACGCTACCCAACCTTGTCTTACTAAAAATAGACCGATGAATTTACAACGCAGCATTATGACAGTGTGTGCAAATATTTCCAACCATGTTTACTGTCTCTGAACTGAACACCATTTTCCTTTACACAAAATGTTTTAATAATATAAGATGTAAATATTCAGTTTACTCTATCTGTTCAATTACATGTATTATTCAAGTTAAAAAGGGACATTGGAAACTTTGAAAATACTTTTATTGAGATACTGGTAAGTTTATTTTGTTTTAAATTTAACCCATAACTAGCTGAATTTATTACATGTAATGTAAATGCATTTACCATGATTTGAATTTGCAACAACCCATTAAAAGTGTAAGGAAATTCAATATCAAAATACCATAAAAAATGAAGCTACCAACAATAAAAACCAAAGTTAGATTGCCAAGCTGAGCTTGTGGCAAGGCGTATCACCGCCAATTCTTACATGCTCCTCCGTGCAGTATTTCAGGCACAAATGGGCACATTAGTAAAACAACCATGGTTCTGTAAGCTAGCTAGATAGCTTCCTCCCGAAACTCAAAATCGAGAATTGAGCCCACGGCCGTGAGGGGCAAGTAGAATGAAGTCAACGATTAAAACAACTCGGCCACCGACACCCCAGTTAAAAATGGTGAAATATATTATGCAAGTAGATTCTGCATTATGGCTTTTAAGTAAGAATTCCACAAAAAATGAATATGTTAAAAATAAAAGGAAATAAAGAATCCGCAAAGAACGCACACAAAGAAAAAAAACTGAAAATGCCGCTGGCTCGATCACAACGAGGCTGCTCACGGACGGCAACAGTAAGCGCAAGCCACCGTCCACGCCCCCAGCACCGGCCAAAGCATAACCCAAAACTCAACCACGGCAATGTTGAAACCAACTTGTTTTGTTTACAGTTAGACACAAGGGAAGGCTAAGGTGTTGGAAGGTTTTCCAGATTGTCACGATTCAATACTTGAGTCTGTATTGCGCTGCATTTTAACTTGCACGTCCGTGCATTAATTAATATGTAATGTTTAAACTGGTGAAAGATAGAGAAACGGGCAAAAATGAATGAAACAGAGCTCCTTGATCACGTATACCATAGATGAAATGACAGAAAATACGACATTATGTGATGCTTGAAATTTGATTCATGTTACAAAATACAAGCTTACTTAATAAGGTTTATGTCTCTTCATCGATATACACTACAAAATCATTATATATAAGGCATATTAATCACTTCATAACTATTTCATAATTATTAATTTTGTTTTTACGTGATTTTTTATGAAGAGTTGTAAATCCTATAAAGTTAGCTTGTATTCGTCCATTTTAGCATGCTAATCTACAATGTCCTTATCCACAGGGTTAAGTGAGCTACAAATCTTAGAATAACTGGTCAATCATATAAAATTCTTTGTGTAGTTTTTGACGCCGAATTTAACACAACTAATCAACCGGCTATCCTGAATGACTAACTAGTAGCAGTGAGGGACAACTGACCTATCAATCCGAGATCAGTTTCACGGAATGATTGCACATTGCCCGTGGATCGAATCAGCAGCCTCCAGGAGTACACATCCAATGTTCTGTGAGCGGAAATTTCATAAAAGGAGTTTCATTTCCATCCTCATTAGCTTATACTAACTTACTTTAATATTTATACAGTTTTCAGGCGGTGTGACTTGTTACATGTCGTTGGGCCCTTAATTAAATGGGCCCTTAATTAAATGGGCCCTTGATTAAATCTCAACAAACATTTCTTTTAAAATGGTTAGACATTTAGGAACCTATAGAAAACAATACCTTACTAAAAGAAAACTGCAGTCGATTCCCATGTTTCCAATCCAAGTTTTATTTTCTGATGACAAGCCCACATAATTTGACAAGGCTCTAAAATTTCCTAAAAATTTAAAGTATTCAACTTTAAAAAATTATCGTCAGACAAGCAATAAGATAAGTTTCTATTGTTTAATTCTAATCCTGCTAAAATTCTAATTGTCTTTCCCAACTTTCATTTTTGACAAAGACTTACCACTTTTACTTCCAGCAGGTTCATGGTGAATGATACCCCTACCATATAAAGGGGGGGGGGGGCAATACTTGAATTGCTTTAGCGCGTCCGTGGGTCCTCACAACACGAGGATAGATTTTTTTCAAACTTTAACTCGAACGTTCACCTCAACTAGCCCATATCAACGCTGTGCAGGACCTAGTTCAAGGTCACGCTTGAATATCAAACATTGTTTTAATTCCTATGGCCATGACAATGTAAGTCTTGTCATATCTTCTTTTTTATACGAATGAAATAAAGAGTGGACCAACTGTAGCTATTTGGCTGAAGACCTTTTTTCTAAGAACAACATACCTTTGCCTTTTTGCGTCTATGGACAAAGGGAAACAACTCGTATTTTTTTCTCGACTGTCCTCTTTATAAAACATAAGACCTTAGTTGATAAACTGTATAAGCACATACTGTCATGTTTCACTAAATACTATTCTGTTTGGTAACACGGCACTTACAGACTCCGATAATGAGAAAATATTCCTTGCAGATCATAAATATATTGAACAATCGAATCGCTTTGACTCTCCGACAATTTTCAACTATCATTAAGGGTTAAATCACAGGTCTTTTTTTCTGTTGTTTTCTTCTTCTTTTTCTTCTTTCTATATCATTCTTCTTTCTATCTGAACTTACCAAACTATTATCATTATTAGTCTTATTTTGTTTTTCTTTTTAGAAAATGATTTATATTGATTTATTCATTTTTCTATGCAATTTGTAACACATCAACCTTCTTAGTCAACAAACGACAATTTCTTTCGCCTTATTTTGCACACATTTTTATTGTACATAGGGAAAAGACTTCAATAAGCATTAGGTTGCTTCCAGTCTAATCCTTTTCTTGTACATGCTGTACTGATTGTAAATATCATGTACGTAAATATGCTTATGTGATGAATAAATATATGTTTAAACCAAATAAAGTGTGAAAAATTCTCTTGTTAAACTGTTTTTCAGGAAGATAACATTTGTTTGCCAACACACACTATGAGTATCCTCCGGAAACAGCCGAATGTTGTCATTATTGGTGCTGGAATGGCGGGAATATCAGCGGCACGACGATTAGTTGATGCTGGCTTCAGAAATGTTCTCATACTTGAGGCCGCTGATAGGTTTTCTGTTTATATAATTTCAAAATTTAAGTAATGTACGGCCGGAGAAATTTTAACCTATTCTTGATACCAAGTAGTGTTAAAATGCAAATTGACAATAGCACAACTGTAAACATTTGTATCCCGTAGTAAAATTTACTTATCATTTTTTCCTATTGATAAAACTTTGGTTCGTGAGTTGAAGTCCTAAGTGATTTCATTGAAAAACATGCAGCCAACGACGGCATCTTTACTTCAGCACATTTTCATGAAATTCATATCAGACCTGTCATTCATGTCGAGCCTTTGTAGAGCATACAACTGCTGGCATATTAGTTACAGAGCATAATAGATAAAACAAATTTAATTTTATTGCAACGCATACATGAAAAATATCATACAAATTATAAGTATATAACAAAAGCTTTGCATTGGGCAAAAATTCTTGCAACATTAGAATTAAAGTCTTTCCCACAGCGTATATTTTCCGCCTGTAAAATGGTGCCTTAAGATTTTGAAGACTAAAACAAGCAATGCATTTAAAGAACATTAAATAAGCTTACTCTACAAACACTTTTTTATAAATTTGAAATTTACAATTAACAGTAAGTCATCTAATTTGCCAACGACATTGAGTAAGTATCTTTCAGGATTGGTGGCCGAATTCACACCGTTTCGTTTGGTGACGGTAATTACCCTGTTGAACTAGGAGCCAATTGGATACATGCTCCCAATGCACAGAATTCAACTTTTCAGATTGCAGAGGCCATAGGAGCGTTACAACCGTATCGAATTTACAATAGGTATATAATTTGAAGCAACCAAATTCAACATAAACGCTGACGCCACTGACAGTTATAATTTCATTGCGTTTCATGCGCAATTACTTTAATAAAAACTAACATAGTTCAAATGCCACTTATTTGCTTGAGTATTGTCAATTGAATCGATTTTCAATTTTGCATTTCGATCTCCCATTGGTATGGCTTGAATGAAACAGACTACTAATGGCGACTGAATCGAAGGTTTTTACTATTTATCATGTCCGAATCACTGTCATAATGTATTCTTAAAGTTCATGTACACAAGCCATTGAATGTAATAATAACAATAATTTTGCGCACTTTGATTTGAAAACGTTTTCAAAAATAATGTTTTCAATATTTTGGAAGGCGATTTTGCCATCCGGTTATAAATAATTAGAAGAATTAATGGCGATGCCTATTGCCTTTTTTCAAACTTTAGTTTGGTTATAATTTCAGCATGAGTTCAAGATTCTTAAGGGAAGATGGGGTAGAAATTCGCAGAGAAATCATTAAAGAAGCTTTTCATATTTTCAATCGAGTCCAAGACAAAGTTTACCGGACAATTATAAATGAGCGAACAAAACATAACCGAATAATCACATTAGAACCGCTTCTATGTGAATACCTGGAAAAGGAATTGCAAAATGTTAAAGCAGACGGCAGTTACATACAGGATATGCAAAAAGCATTGAAAGCAATGATGAATTTTAGAAGGTGTTATGAAGGTGATGAACTTGACCGAATAACCTGGGAAAAGCCTGAAGAGGAGTACAACATAACAGAAGGCGGAGAAGTTCACATCCCGGGCGGATATTGCCAGATATTAAATCATATCATGAAATTAATTCCAAAGAAATCACTCATGTTGAAAAAGGAAGTAGTTGAAATATTATGGAATAGTGAAATAACCGAAATTAAAACCAGAGATGGGTCAACATTCAAAGCAGATCATGTTATTGTGACGTCATCAATTGGTTACTTGAAAAAGCATCACGAAACCCTTTTCAACCCGAAACTTCCTCAAATCAATATTGATGTACTGACCTCACTAGAACTAGGACGGGTGAATAAAATATTTTTGGAATTTGACCAACCAATTCTAGCACCAACTTATCATAGTGTAGCATTTACTTGGGATGACACGACCATTGAAAATATTCAGAATGACTGGTATAAGCGTATATTTGGTTTTGAACAAATATTCACAAAGAACAACACTCTTCTTGGGTGGATTGCTGGTGACGCTGCAGAGTACATGGAAACACTGTCAAACGACGAAATTGGTAAAATTTGCGCTGAACTTCTTCGTAAATTTTTGGGCAATAGAAATATTCCAAACCCAAAGGCAGTTTTAGTTTCAAGATGGTGTAGTAATCCGTACGTGCTTGGAGCGTACTTTCACCAGACGAAAAGAATGATTCCAGGGGAACAGGTGATATTTTCTGAACCGATCACGACGCCGTCTGGTGGACCTGTTATATTATTTGCAGGTGAAGCGTTAAGTAATTGCTGTACACATGGAGCACGGGATTCCGGAATTCAACAGGCAGAGCGACTAATAGACCTGTATATGAAAAAGAATATTGATGGTACCTTTTAACATTTACCCCTTCTGAAGCAACAACATCACAATTATCCTTTATATGGATCAACGTGTTATACATGTTTAATGCAATAAACGAGTTCTCCTCAATTCAACCACTATATGCATTTTCATTGTCAAATATTTTGCCAAGAAACATAAAATATCAATAAACAATATTGATTTAATTATGATGCATTAAATCACTAAACTTTTAATCTGCCATGAATTTCTTTATGTCAAATGTGTTTTTAGAATGTTTTTTTACTGAGATCACAAATACAGAACATTGGGATGGCGGAAACACGCGTGTGTTAATAGATACAACTAATAACAAATGAATCACAAAAAAGACACATTGCTGTAGTAAATAATGAGAAACCTGAAATATAATTTGATCTATATAAGTCAAATTCAACGCACTGCGAAAAACATACGGGACTACGGTATACGGCATTGTTTATGCAATATACGGGCGTGTAAAGAATAAAAACCCGTATACGGACATTCAATGCTATACTATAGATATTCGTACATGGAACATACGTATTATCATGTATATTTTAGATATACAGAAGTTGTACGGAATTGTATTTCCGATATATACGGAGGATACACGGATGTGTATTTTTAGATATACAAAAGAAATACGAATTGCATTTCCGAGAGATACAAAAACATTTAAAGAAAATAATTGTTTTAATGTATAGGAATATTAGTTTTTTAAGCTGTACATGACGCAATCACGTAATATATATGTAACGCACGGGATGTACATGTATATTCACGACATATACGGAGATATTATTTTTCAAGGGTACGGAAATTATCACAACACGTAATAGTTATTGTACATGAAACGAGTTAGTTACGAGGATATAACACTGGCTGGGGCGACATCAAGGAGTGTTTTACAATATTTTTTGCAGAAACATCCCGAGATGTATATATCAATACAGTTTTAAAATGCTGATTGAAGTGTACTGAGTATAATGGGTTAGTAAGAACAAAGGAAAAGTTCCAAACCATGCGATAAATAATCGACACGTATACATGACTAAAATACAAACTTGTATATTTTCTATATACAAAGTGAATGGGAACAGTATATTCATTTACTTGATGATTTTATCTTTATACTTGGAAAACCTAATTTCAATTGAGCATATTAACAATCTGTATAAATACATTTATATACAAACAAAATAAACATATCTACTCTGCATGTGTCGTAACTCATGAATGTACACCTGAAATTAGAAGGATAATATAAGGTAAAGCCTTGTGTCATGGTTTTTAATTCCACTTATATGCTTCGCGGAGTCTTATCAATTTGGGTCATGCCCGATTTTTTTTCAAGCAATTAGCCAAACTGGCCTGTGGAAAAGTAATAATAATATCCTTTCTTTTTGAAAGTGCAGTTTGAGCCGAAAATATATACGTACGAAATACCCCAAATGGCCGTGTAAAGCGAAAAATAAGATCGGGTCAACGAAATTGATATAATGTATTAAAAACGTATTTTTGTTGTTATGAACTTTTAATGTAAGTTATGAACCATGTTTAAAAATCTTATTTTCGTTAATCTATAAAAACTTTATTTATGGATCAATATTTAGCATATAATTATGGTCTTGATATCTCTTCTTAACAAAGATAATTTCAAACAATACGTACATACATGGAGCTAAATTGTACATATATCTGTGGTACTTGTACACTGCCAACATTTTCAATTTATGTGAACGAGGTAAAATCTCTGAAAATTATTGTGGGAAATAGAACTTTGTAGGTGCATTTGATAAATGGAGAAAATATGTTGAAGGTTCAATAAAGAAAAGACTCTTTTGTCGTACTAAATTTTCTGATATTTGTAATTTGTTTCTTTAGCATCTCTCTTATAGCACACTATATCAGTATATGTATGAGATGAAGTCATGTCAAATTCCAAATGTCAAAAATGTTAAGAACTCTTTTAATTCACAATTAAGTTATCGTATTTTTTGTTTTAATTTGTTTTGCTTAACACTATGTTAAATCAAGTTAAAGAAGATTTTTTTACAGCGGAAACATAAAGCCACTTATTGTTGGGTTTGGATACGTTATACTCAAAGTGTGTCATAGAGTTTACTTAACTTGTGAATAACTGTTAATGTTCACATTACTCGTTAATGTATTTTGTAAATGAGGAACATATATTTTTATTGATAAGCGCTTTAAATCTTATGACCTAAGTATCTTTTCTTCATATAAAGCTGATGCAAACAATCTTATACAAGAATAATAATGCTACATTCGTAAAGTATTGCCTCTATTTTAATGCGCATTAAATATATTAACTTGTTTAGATACTCAGACAGGAATCTATATATTAACAGAGATAACAAATTTTTTAATGTTCTGCTTTCTTGCATTCGTATATTGCCGTATTGTAAGCAGAAGCTCAAGTTGGAAACTTTATCTTGGTACAAACTATATGATTTGAGTCAATCAAATCAAAGCTTTGCGGTTGCAGTTGCTACATTTATAAAAGTGCATACGATTTATAATAAATAGACTTAGTGTTAATTTTTAATCATACGTTAAAATTTCAAAGAAATTATGAAACGGTTACAAAATCGCATGTGAAATTTGTATTCAATTTTCAATTGTTTCGATACTTGAAAAAGATTATTTTGACTGTTACTCATAGTCGCATTCATCTTTAAAACTTGCATAAACATACTATAAAAGATGATATGTATAACTAACAATGTATGAAATACACAAACAACGGGCTCCAGTAATATGATGTTTATAGATATAATATTACACCAGTAAAGCTCAATTACGCTGTTTCCCTCATAATATCAATGTGCCGGGATTTTGTAACCCAGAATATACGACGCTTAAACCGTCTTGTTAGTATATAAAATCTACTTTCAGATAAATCTGATTTTATCGATTCAAAGCAAAAAAGCAAAATAAAATGTACATCTTAATAAATAGAGTGACTTTAAGATGACGACGAAAGTAATTCTAATGTACAATCAAATTGTCCTAGTTTCCTGATTTTCATGATTAAAAGGTCAATAAATGAACTCAATAATTGTGACAATTCAATATTTTTAGCTCGACTTTTTTTGAAAAAGAAGAAGAGGTATTGTTATAGTCCTATCAACCGCTGCTACCCACTGTTAATAGCGAAGTCCTTGGTAACATTCCCACACTTGGCAACAATATACATATGTAAGTATTTCGTGGTCTGCTGGGTATCTTGACATTTGCCCCTTAGACAGTTGCCCCCTCAGAAGTTTGCTCCCCTTTCCTTTTGCAGTGGCGGACATTTGTCCCTCATATCTTTGGAAGGATTGGACATTTCCACCCCCGCTGTTTTAAAAATGTTAAAATATTTAATTGTTGAATTGTTTGTCTCAAAAACTCATCTCCTACCAGTAAATGCGCTGTGTAAAAAATAATCTTCGTGCATTGCATCTAATGTTCCGGATCAGCCATTGCCCAAGCCAATAGTTTGACGGCGTGTAAGTTGTATATCGGCCTCGTTCATCGATCTTTCTGTTTAGGAAAGACCTGGTCACGAGTTTCATGGAACACCTCGAGCGCTACGCGCTCTCAGTGTCACATGAAATTCGTGACCAGGTATTTCCTAAACAGAAAGACCTCTTACTCGGTCGATATCCTATATAAAAAACTGGATTTTAAATAAAACTTCAAAACTGTTTTGGTGTGAAAATGGCTTAGTAATGTACAATTGAATACTTCATATACATAAACCAGATGTATTAATGACAGTGAATGGGTAAAAACAGAAACGGACTAAAATCTCGGGTATCGCCTGACGCGGGAAATCCTTTGCCTGAACAAAAACGGACCGCTATGGATCAAAGTGATCAATTATCACCGTCAGCTCAACCTTACATCCCTAATATGATGGGATCTTATATACAGAGTCCAAACGCAATGCCTATGACACCGCCGCCTCAGATGCCACAGTCGCAGACGCAGCATTATAATAATCCAGTCTCACCGATTATCGACAATACGGTAATTGTGTCAAAACTTGAAGCTATTGATTTACGTTTGCGTAAACTGGACTCAATTGAGGAACAAGTGTTAAACATTGACTCTTAAATATCTTCAATGAATCATAGAATCTCTTCTCTGGAATCCAAAATGTCTGATTCGAATAAAACAATACTAGAACTTGAAAAAAAGCAGAACATTTGATTCACAGGTGTGCAATGAGATCAGTTCTAAACAGAAAAATATAGACAAAATTCTCTGCGATGAGAAACAAAGATGTTATAGCATGCAAGGTGAACTGCATGATTTGAAACAAAGCAACTCTAAATTAGATGACGATATTGTGGATTTGCAAGTACGATCGATGAGGGATAATTTGTTGTTCTTTAACATTTCAGAGGAAACCCTAGCTAACAACAAACGAGATGGGAACTGTTTATTAAAAATTCTCAACTTTTGTGAAATCAATTTAAAAATGTCAGATGCTAAGAAAAACATAAGATTTGATCGCGCTCATATAGATTAGGGAAAGTTTTGTCAAACAAAACACGTCCCATTGTAGTCAAATGAGTAACCCCCAGATAAAGCTTTGATAGAATGTTATTGAATAATACAAATTATCGGGTTAGTGACAAAGTGCGAGAAAAAAGAAAGACGTTAATCCCTGAGAGTATCAAAGCACGAGAAGAGGGCAATTTCATTTGACCGGCTTATCATGCGAGGTCAACGGTCAACTAGTATTTCACCTGATGATACGCATGAGTAGGATATAACGGAGGAACAGTTAACATTTGTCTTGTGTAATGTCCAAGGTCTCCAAAATAAATTAGATGACAATGATTTTTTTTTAATGTTTATAAACAGATATGACATTATTCTTTTGACTGAAACATGGACTTCTTCCAGATCGAATGTATGCATTGGTGGATACCTAAACTTTCATTGTGCTAGGCCTAAAAGTAACAAAAGGCCTACACGTTTTAGTGAAGGTTTAATTGTTTATTACAGAAGTCATTTAAGCGGAAAGATTGACCTTATTATATCCGATAATAGAGGTATATTGTGATTTAAGATCAAAAGTGAATTATGTAATCTAGTCCGTGATGCGTTTTTCTGTTAAGCATATATTCCTCCGGAAGAATCATCTGTTTATAAAAAATAAAAATTCGATACTTTTCGAATGTGATCTATTAAGCCAAATGACAAATGAGTGCCGATTTTAGTTGGTATGAAACTCAAGGTGATACGTATTGGTGCGGGGACCTGAACCGTCGAACAGGGGTAACCCCTGACTTTGTTGAAAATATAAATTTACAGAAATGTGTGGACATGCCAGAAATGCATGATGGTATGTTACCTGTAAGACGCTCGTCTGATAAAATATGTAACCCGTTTGGTCTAAAATTACTCTCTTTATGAAAGCAGCATGATTTACGCATTGTAAATGGCCAATTAGAAAAGTGTGAGTTTACGTATCAAAAAGGGTGCTAGCGTTGTAGATCATCTAATTGTAAATATTTTACGTTACTGTAGTTTGAATACAATGGAGGTGTTAGATTTCAACGAATTTTCAGATCAATGTGCTGTTGAATTTTCTTTAAATTGTGATTTGTCAAGTTCGTCTAATAATACAATCATTAAAGAAGATAAATAAGTGTGGAATAATGATCATGTTTGTGACCTTTTGGCTTGTTATGATTTTTGGTAAAACAATAACAAAAATGGTCTTGCTATAGCAAAAAAACGCAGAAATCGATGGTTTAATCAAGAATGTAAGCATTATAAATCACTTTTTATGAAGCGAGAAGACTCAAAAGAGTAAACACAGAGGAAAACAGAAAACGCTGTTAGAATTAAGGAGCAAATATAATAAAATCAAACATAAAGCTAAATTAAAGTTTTTCACGACTGAAAAAATATATTTTCTGATTTAAGTAAAAGATCACCAGAAAATTAATAAATTCCGAAATAAGTATGGGAGTAAAAACTTCGATGTTCCTTTAGATGAGTTTGTTAATCATTTTGCTAACATGCCAGGAAACACAAATATGAATGATTTAGAAGTAAACTTAGATGAAATTCATGTAGATTTTTTAGATACAAAAATCACCAATGATGAAATCTTAAAAACGATTTCCTCATGCAATAGAAATAAAGCTGCATCAACGGATAAAATTGTGGCCAAATTTTTTATCGCCGCTAAAGATTTCATTACACCATACTTAGTTAAGTTATTTAACATTATCTCTGATGCAGGAGTTTATCCTGATTCTTGGACCAAGGGGATAATTGTCCCAATTTACAAAAAGGGTGATAAATCCAATCCTAGTAATAATAGGGGTATTTCTCTTGTGAATAGCATGGCTAAACTTTTTTCCCTTGTTTTAAGAAACGGAATAAACAAATGGTGCGAGACAGAAGATATATTTTGTGAAAATCAGTTTGGTTTCAGAGATAAAAAAGCACAATTGATTGTATATTTTTATTACATTGTATTATCCAAAAAAAGTTATATGATAAAAAGAAATTGTAATGTGCTTTTATAGACTACGAAAAAGCTTTCGATGCAGTTAATAGAGGAACATTATTTGTTAAATTGCTATAAGAGAGAATTGGCAGTAAAATGTTGAATACGATAAAAGCAATTTATGAGAAAGTTTCGTCATGTGTTAAAATTTGCTTGTAAATTTTCAGATTTTATGATATATCTATTGGATTGAAACAAGGAGAGCCACTTTCACCGATAATGTTTATACTCTTCATAAATGATGTATGCAAAAACATTAACCTTTAAAGTTTATCAAACTATGATCTTAACCAATTATGTGTATTTATGTTGCTTTTTGCAGATGATATGGTTGTATTTTCACCGATCCTAATACTTTACAAAATCACTTTAACTATGTATATGAATATTCGAAACAATGTTGTCTTAAGATCAATATAAAGAAGATCAAAATTTGTATTTAAGAAAAACGTAAATTTCGAGAGCAATAGACAATTTTACATTGACGATAATGTTATTGATATTGTAGACAGTTTCTGTTATCTAGGAGTGACTTTTGTTTCAAATGGTAACATTACTAAAACAGCTAAAACTCTTTCTGATTAGGCTATAAAAGCAATATACAATTTGTTAAGTCTTTTTACAAGAATACATGTCGATATCATAACGAAGCTTAAATTGTTTGATCCCCTACTTGCACCAATTTTGCTTTATTCTGCGGAAGTTTGCGGAAAATATTGTCCTAAAGAGGTTGATAAGATTCACATAGAATTATGCAAAACCATAGGGGTGAAATCACAGACTCCAAATTACGCTGTTTTAGGTTTATTAGGGAGATTCCAGTTATTTCCCAAGAAACTCTCTTCAATATTACACTAAATTAAAATCAAATCCAGAGTCATTAATTTGTAAGTTATTTTCTACTGAGTGTAATAGTAATAATGATCAAAATTCGGCTCTTTCTTTAAAAAAAACTATTGTATAATCTTGGTTTAAATGATATATGGGGTAATTTTAATAAAGGTGTAAACTATTTTCCTACTTTGTCACGAAGATTGAGAGATCAATTTATCCAACATTGGCATACGACAATCAATAATTTGCCGAAATTATCTTATTATGTTCAATTATTTGTATCAGAGGAATATCTTAACAAAATAAAATGTGACAAATTAGTAAAACTGTTTGCATCCTTTAGGTTATAGCAGTCATAATCTAGCTATAGAAACCGGTCGTTATGGAGGTATAGATAGACAGAATAGATTGTGTGAACATTGTACAATGCATGTTGTTGAAAGTGAATAGCACTTTCTTTTAATCTGTACTCATTATTCTGAAATTCGCAAGAAATATTTTCCAAACACAGCATGACCATCTTTACCTAAATTTTATAGTTAAATGTCAAAAAGATAACAGTCAGTCAACTTTACTGAATGTATCGAAATTTTCAAATGAAGCATTTTTGGAAAGAATTGAAATTAATATGTAAGTTAATGCATGTCATATACTTTACTGTTTCTCCTAATCAGCTTCGCAATTATGTAACAATTATATAACAATTATATGTCATTTGATGCATGTGTGATTTGTATATATATATTTTAGTTTGTTAACCTTTGCCAGAGGCATTTTGTATGCAGATTATTGAAAATAAAATATTGAATTGAATTGATAAACAAAATCTAGTAGATCGCATATAGAATTGATTTAGTTATGAGTAATTGTTATTGGAGCTTGCAAACAGCTTGTTTAAATAATACAAAGTATGCTTATAAAACCAATCACCTGGTTTTCTAAGCTTTGAAATCAAAATAAAAGACACATCCCACTATTTTTTTCTCATAATGCTCAATATTACCATGATAAATGTGTATACATGTATAAGCATTTTTACCGAATTTAAAAATAAATTCATATGTTTTACATTTGTATTTAAATAACTCAGTTCATCCAAAAAAATAGTGGGCTTTTGGAAAATAAGCTTTTCTTCAGCTTTGTTTTCAAAACGTACACTTTAATTTCAGCCTAATACGATCAAGCAATGAAAATAAAATAGAAATCATTTTAAGTTTTTTCCTTAGTGAAGATGTGACCATTCTGTCTTATTGCTTTCTCTCCAAAATGATTTTCAAATTCTTCTGATCATCATTCTTGAAGATTTAATTATTCTAGAGATTTCTAAACTGGAGTCTTGTTTAATGAATATTTCTGTCCCGTACACAATGTTTAAGTTGAAGTTGTAGTCACATCGTTGATTACAATACCACCAACCCCCTCTGCCGCCAATGTCACATGTAATCTCAGGACCATATACGAATGCTACAAATGGAGCTCCATTGCAGATCGAGAACTGCTCCCCTAAAGGGTATGAAATTCCTGAAAAGAGCAAAAAATATTGTAATTGCGACTATTAAGGGCACATAACACAATCATTTACCTTTAAAAAGGGAAAGAAGTCACTTGATTATGATTTGTTGTGTGATTTGAAATCACTTGTTTTATGATTTGTCATGTGATTTGAAATCACTTGTTTTATGATTTGTCATGTGATTTGAAATCACTTGTTTTATGATTTGTTATGTGATTCGAAATCACTTGTTTTATGATTTGTTATGTGATTTGAAATCACTTGTTTTATGATTTGATATGTGATTGAAATCACTTGTTTAATGAAAGACGGCCAGCTTTCTTTGTTGATCTTGTTGACCATATTTCACGTTTTTACGTCACTTGCAGGAAGAAAAAGGGTTTAATGTGAAATAATTTGCCAAAAGGATAGCAAAACGTTAACAGAGTGGTATTTAGTCTTCCATACAATATCACGATTCCTATTAGGGAAAGCCCTGGTACCCTGGGGAGGGTGATGTAAAACCCCTGGAACACAAATTGTTCAATCTTGGTAGATGTTAAACCCTAAAATTGGTCAGCCATAGTAGCGGTCACTTAAACAATGTTTAAAGCACGTCAGATCCTGCCTCCAACACCATATGCCCCTGTAAACACTCTATCAAGGATATTGTAATATCTAAACACGAAGGGAAATCTGTTTTAATGATTAAATTTGTTTTCATACAATTTTACATATATGAAAAATACCGTATACCATCAAGTCTCATTAAACTACAAAATGTAAACAGTCCAACTTATATGCAACCTGAGCCTAGCATATGTCTGCTCACTTCATTTGCTTTTTGAGCTGGGACCCAACACTATTATTCTCTCACGACTTAAAACTTCTGTCAAAATCGTGACTTTCTGGAGACCCAGTATGACCGCCAAATTCAAATATTTTTTTCTTAAAATCATTCTGGAAATATCTAAGTAATAATTATCTGACCAACAAAGTTTTCAACCTCCAGCGTTTAGGGATAGACCCCTCTATCAAAGAGTGTCTGTTTATTTACATTTTTTAAACGCGGAACGTTGGAGGTTAAAAACTTTGTGGAGAAAAATTTAATAAATATTTAAACTGTACATTATATAAATAACAAAATGAGAGAAACAACACACTGTGCATCTTGGTAATAGTATAAAGGTTCGAGTATACCGTTTGTGTACCGGATTGACAAGCGTTCAACACAGAGCCGGGAACTCTTCTCGTATTGCTTGGTCAGAACGCAAAATTTACTTTCGTTTATTATTATTATTTTTTATTTTATTTTTAAAGCACTGTTAAATGTCCTTCACCGAAGTCTAAAAGCCTCAAGCAAGAAAGTTCATTAATCAAGTGAGCTTACAATGGAAAACATCTGCAAAGGATTAGAAGACTTACATTTAATATTAATATATCTTGTGTGATTCTTAGTCCGATTTGAAGGTCCTTTTGCCCAATAAAAATGATAAATTTTGGAAAACTGGGTGAGAAAATGATCGGAAAAATTTCATCCAAGTTATTGGGTTAGACCTACATTAAATGGTACACAAGTTTCGAAGAGACAATATTTCCAGTCCCGTCTGTGGGATCCATTTAATATTTAGCCCCGAACCTGCTTTATAGTCAATTGTTGGCGTCCGCGCCGAAGCGCGGCGCCTTTTATGGAATGAAATCAGATTTTGTGAAAGGGCGACAGCAACTTCTCGAGTATGATATTAGAATAAAAATTGAAATATATTCAGTTTAACTGTGTAGTGCCTAGTTAGATTGTACCGCTGTACATACTAGCCTGGCTCTGTGGCAATGGCAATTGTGGTTCAGCTGCATGAGGTTAGGCCTAAGGATATCATGTCCTATCTCACCTGAGTAATCAAGGGCTTCATTGTCTATTGAGAGCGTGTACTGTGCGCCAGTGAGCTGGAACCGACCAAATCTTTCGTACAATGGATTATGATCATCAAAGTCAAGATCATATCTGAATTCGCTCGGTTTTTCTGTGAGTGTTTGGATAAACTTAAGTCCTGCAATCATATTTACAATTGCATGTTACATTTTAGTAAAATAATCTGACATATTCCTTGAGTAGTTAAATAGTATAGATATTTATCTCATAAAACATATTTTATACAATTACTTTTAAACGGTATTGTTAAGATATATCCATTCTCCTATTGCCGATACATGATAGAGTTTCAATATAGAATTCATCTGTTATTTAAAACACATTCATATTGTACATAAAGAGAATAAATTGTGACGTTCGTGGCCGAGTGCTTAAAGTTGTTGTCTTTAAACCACTTGTCCCTCACCGCTGTGGGTTCGAATCCCGACAGGGACTTTGGATTCTTTAATGTGAGGAAGCTATTCAGCTAGATTACGGAACGTTGGTGGTTCTACTCAGGTGCCCGTTCGTGCCTGAAATAATGCACGGAAGATATCCAATAGATATAATAATTATGATTAAGTGAATGCATAGATGAATGAATGATTGAAATTGCATACCGAGCCAGAATTCACCATTTATGTCCCCAAATCCGTTCTCGTACGTTGTAAAGTTTCTTTCGAAGTTGACTGAGCCATCAAATCTGTTTTGGAAAACCTTAAATACAATGTAAGAACAGAATTTACTTCTTGACATGAATCATGAGGCGTTTATACCATCACTGATGAAATTCAAGAGCGGCCTAATGTAATGTCTTATATCACAAGCTACCAATACAATGGAGCGTTGAAAGAGGTGTTCGCTTTCCTGCCTCATTATTGGTGGTAAAACGCTTCCAGTTCTACTGTACATGGTCAATAACTTAAGTGATGCGAAAGTAATTAATGAGATAAAGTAAGAGACAGGCCACAATTATCGCACAAAATGACCAAATTCCGGTAGGGCCATTTCAACTTCATGAATTCCCGCTTTCATCCTCATGATTTCACAATTTAAACTTCGTGAATTCACGTTTTCAACATAAGGAATTCATGAATTTCTATTTCTGATTTCAGATTCATAGAGTTGTGAAAATGAAATCCTGAATTCGTGAAGTTTAAATTACGAACTTCCGAAGTTGAATTTATGAAGTTAAAATTGTGAGGCGTTTGTAATCATGAATTCGTGAAGTTGGAATCGTGAATTTGTGATGTTGAAATTGTGAACTCATGAAGTTGATATCGTAAATTCATGAAGATGAAATCGTGAATTCGTAAAGTTATAGACGCTTGTTTTAAACACAAACATTCTAATAATAATTTCTACAAACATACTGTCCATCCTCCACCATTGGTTGTCATGTCACAGTAAACGTGTAACGTTTTATTGCCACCAATTGCTATGGTATAAACACCGCTGTCAGCAAACATGTTCCTTTCCAGAATTTCTTTGCAGTCGGATGCGAGTGCTTAAAATTAAAAATTAATTTAGAGTTACAGGAAGTAAAGGTACATGTTCAAGTCATTACATCGTTCAATTTTGTAAACTTAACATCTAACAGGACCAAAAACCAAACTTCAAAAAAGGTATCAAAATTAAAACAAGAGGAACATGATGGCCCTAGATCGCTCCCCTGACCCACCAACAACATACAAGCAATGTCTAAGACAAGCGTTCTGGCCAAATTTTATAACAAATGAGTCAAAATGTGACCTCTAGTGTGTTAATTTTTTTTTCCATATTTGGGCAGTGTGACCTAACTTTGACCCAGTTGGCCCATTTCAATCTTGACATAGAAATCATCAAAACAAATTTGCAGACCGATTTCCAGGATATTTGGATAACAACAGTAGCCACTAGAGAGTTCACAAGATTTTCTATTTTAGCTCCTTTGGCCTATTTTTTCATTACTCCTCCAAGCAATTAACTAGACAAGCATCCTGACCAAGTTTGATGAGAATTGAGTCAAAATGTTACCATTAGATTTTTAATAATGTTTTTCCGTAATTGGACAGAACCGCCTCTGTGGTCGAGGGTTTAGAGTCGATGACTTCTAATCCAGTTACCTCTCTGGCGTGGGTTCGATCCCCGGGAGATGCTTTGGTAGTTTAGCGCGGAGGAAGGTTGTCTAGTACTGATGTAACTCTCTCCAGGAACGATGGTTAGGAAACTACCCGCCTATATGACTAAAATACTGTTGGAAAAAGGCGTAAAATGAAACAAACAAACAAACAAACAAACAAAAGTATTTGGACAGTGTGACCTAGTTTTTGACACAAGGTGATCCATAATCAAACTTGACCTAGAAATCATCAAAACAACCTTCCCGACCGATTTTCAGGAAATTTGGATAAAAACTGTAGCCACTAGAGTGTTAACTAACTTTTCTTATTTTTAGCTCATGTGACCTATTTTTTTACCAGAGATGAAGCATGTTAATAATTGATCTAGAAATCATCAAAACAACCGTCCTGACAAATTTCCAGAATATTTGGATCAAAACTGCAGACACTAGTGTGTTGTGTTAACAATCTTTTTCTATTTTCAGCTCCTGTGACCTAGTTTTTGACCAGAGATGACCCATGTTCAAACTTGATATAGAAAATATCAAAACAACCGTCCTGATATTTGAATCAAAACTGCAGCCGCTAGAGTGTTAACAAGCTTTATTTGTAGCTCCTGTGACCTAGTTTTTGACCGGAGATGACCTATCTTCGAACTTGACCTAGAAATTATCAAAGCAACCTTACTGACAAATTTCCAGAATATTTGGATCAAAACTGCAGCCACTAGAGTGTTAACAAGCCTTTTCTTTTTTTAGCTCATGTGACCAAGTTTTCGAACTTGACCTGTAGTTTGTTGAGACAAACATTCTGAGTTCGATGATGATCCAATTAAAACTGTGACTGCTAGAGTGTTAATAACCAAATTGCTGACGACGCAACGCACGACGACGGACGCCGGTCATAGCTACATCAGTATACCTAACCTTGACCGCTTTGTGGTCAGGTGAGCTAAAAAAACAACCACAAAACAACAACATTTTAAACGATTGAAATAAGTAATGATTAACTTGTTTTATTCACGTAATGACTAATTTTTCAGTATTTAACCATTTTTGATATACTTCAACCCATATTGGTAATTTACGTTGATTGGAAGTGCTGTCTGCAATGTGTTAACTAACTTTACTTTAAATACATTTTCAAATTTTCATGAAAATTAGTATTCATAGAAAATTAGTATTCTGGAATCATGTCGCTTTTATCAAAGTTATTGATGTTCCTTAAGTGTCCGAGCTTTAACAGGTAACTAAATGAAAGAAGAACAACCAGCACATCGATAATATTTACAATTTAAGTAAAATAAGATGTTATCTTTGATAAATAGACTTCAATTGGTTTATTTAACCATGAACGGATCTTCGTAATTTTGTGTACCATTTGGTTAAAATCTTGGCTAAGAAATTAGATTTTTATATTGCAGATCATTCCTTCAGTTCGTTTTTTTCCAAATTAGTTATTTTTATTGTGAATATGACCCAACTATGAAAAGCGATTAAACACCTTAAACTTAAAGTTGCACAAACACGTCAATTTTAAATATTAGAAATATTTATATATCTTTGAAATCATCTCCATATTATTCCATATTGAGTGCCTCGCTTTATCCTTGTTAAAAAATCTTTTTTTGTCCTCACTGGAGCTTCTTGGGTGCATTTTGCAAGTAAATTTGAACTGTCAATGACCAATATTGGTGTCGGAACAACATCCGAAAATAAACATGAAATACCCTTTTAGTTTTTAAATGAATCAAATTTAACGAACCTCTTTTTGAAAAATGTATAAATCCTGTCGAGTTGGTCGGTGGGATTGGTTTAAAAAACTCCCGGCATCCAGAGCATTTCTGACCATCCGCTTGAAATGAAAAGGAATTGCATTCATCGTCATCGTTACAAATTTTACTGCATGCCAATGGATTTTTAACGGCGTCTTTCACAAATTGAGTATCTTCCGCAGAGCATCTCTCTTCAACGGTTTCTCCCTCAAAGTGATATTTTACCCAATTTATAGCGATAGATGACGAGACCGTGTCATATTCAATCACAAAGATGCAGATAAATAAAATAAGAATTCTTTCACAGATGTATGTCATGGCGCAAATTTTTATTCTCTAATTCGAATAAAAATTTTAGACATGCACCTATTACAAGCAATATTGTTAAAGTGAGAGAAAAACCTACGACTAAAAAAGTTTGAATAACCATCAATATCGCGTAAAAGACAGATCAAAGACTGCTTATGCATTATGCACCATTGTATCAAAGGTTTGTATGACGTCAAGAATTTCACATGTGGCCATAAATTATAGAAACTTTTAACGCCTAAGAATTCGAAAACTTCTTTCATGCTGATAGAAAGTGATTCTAAGTATGTCAACCGTTTTGAACGCAAACGGAAATTTATTGCACTTGAGACACGTTGGTGTAACTTATATTAGCTAACAAGAACACATTTCTCTATTATATCTATAGAAGATTTTTTTAAATATATCATCAGGACAAAAAATGTGTTTTATTTATGAATGAGTCACAAACAAATGACTTTATCGATGGCGGATAGAAAATGTTACCCAAATATCTTTAAATTACATAGAGCTTGAAACACCCCATTTTGGGTCGTTTTCATTTTAATGAATTCAAATTTTCTTCATTGCTTCAGTACCTTAATGCTGTTACATAACCGATCATTGTGCTTGTTAGTTTTTAGAAGACATTCTTCTCGTTATCATTTATATATAGAGCTATTGCAGTGACTCAACCAGCATTCCGTCATTGTTTTACATCCGATGTTTTATCCCTTAATAGATTAAAACTTTTTTTCGTGTTTAACCAAACTATTTTGGAACATTTTCTATTGTGACATATATTGTCAATATCCGTTGAACACAAAATTATAGTTTCTTTATACTATTCAATAATTATGTTTAGTTCAGTGTAAGATTGGGATATATTTCACCGATTGAGCACTAAAAGGCATATTTCACGACTGCACAGCCACGAGAGAAATATAAACTTTTGGTGTTCACAAGGTGAATTATTTTCCGATCTTACACTAAACTTAACATTTTTTTTATTATATGCAAAGAAATGTTTATAAAACACATTTAAAGCTAATACTAAATGAAAATCGCGAAAAATCGCACTCATTTACGACGTCACGTTATTATGCTGGTTTCCAACACTTTGCACGCTGGTATTCTACTGAAACAATGTAACGGGCATAAATTCAAAACAGTGAAAATTATCAAATTGATAATTATACTGTTTCAAAAAGTGAAATATCAGTTTCATATTTCACTGATATATTTCTATAAACCACCGAAAAGCATGTTATATATAATACCACGCTTGCTAAACACTGACAGTTTTACATTTTGATGATCTATATAAAATGAGAGCCATCGACATTTCAGTTCTAGAGCCTTCGACTTAACCTAAGTTGAAACAGGTAAACACAATGTCTCATAATATTGGATTTAAAAGAATAAGCTTGTTTTTATTTTTTTAATTGACGCATGCTTTGCTTAGTAGAGTATTTTCTCATGATTGTGGTTGTAACTGATAAGAAATACCTCATAATTGCGTAGGAACAACATGCTTTCTTAGTGAAACGATTTGCATTTTATAACTTAGATAAGAAACAACCATGCACATACTGTATTTTTAAAATGCTTTGAATAATTGCAATTTCTTTTTTAATAATAATTCTGAGTTTTAGATATGACAAAGAATTACCGAAAAACAGGTAATTTATGTTTATTTTTCTGTTGAAAAATAAAGAGATTTTCACTTTAGATTTAGAAATCTGAGTCACCGTTATATTTTGCTGTGAATTCTTTTTTGTGTAATTTTTATATATTTTTTCTTATCATAAGCAGCAATTAACCTAGAAAAATAAACATTTATTATCGCAAACTATATACAGTCTATTCATTTTATCTCGATGATGCATTACAAAGTATGAAGGATTATCATTTCTTATTGCCTTGAATGAATTGCAATGAAAGTATTTAATGTACAGAAACTTTAGTGCGATAAGTTATAGCTAATTGGACCATTATGAGTTACGTTGACTGCACTCTTTATTTAAAGAATCTTTAATGCGATAAGTTATACATATTCAACCCATCATGACTAACTTTGTCTACAAATAAAACTATTACATTCGTGTTTGCCGTAATTTTCTATATTTGCAATATTAGAAATATAAGAAACAGTCCAATTACATATTTATATGCCATTGACATTGCACCGGTAATCATGTTATATTTAATTTAGTCAAAATATACGACCATAGCTCTTATACAAACAAAAACAAAAGCAACAGTCCTCGTATGAACCCTTCACAATGAGTTGGAACGACATCTTAAATCAAGTATTTCATCCATCTTCAAATCATTAAATCCTTTGAAGATTTGTAAGCTATTTTAGCCGCGTCACGACAAAACCAACATAATGGGTTTGTGACCAGCATGGATCCAGACCAGCCTGCGCATTCGCGCAGTCTGATCAGGATCCATGCTGTTCGCTTACCAACTCTATAACAAGTAGAGAAACTGATAGCGAACCGTATGGATCCTGATCAGACTGTACGGTATTGGTGCAAATCGTATTTCAATGTGATTTTGATAACAGTTTCATAAATATACGAAATGAAGAAAATATGATGCAGCATAGCTAACGACATACAATACAGGACTTAGTATTATATTCATTGTCAAGTTGTTCTCCCCTTTACTGGTCCAGTTGCAAAGGTCATGAATAATAATTCTCGTGTTGATCAGACTATCATGAAATTGTTATTCCACACAATATATAGAGCGCATGTTTATATTTAATAACCCATTGTTTTAGCAGGGTCTTGTATCTATGTCACCTCTATAATAGTTGCATGCAGTGTGGTGCTAATATATAAAGCTAAGTCTGCATATTTTATGAGTTAGATTTATACGGTATAAGTTTGTAAATGAAACATCTGAGACGGCCTATACAATGTAATAATAAAGAAAAATTCTGAATGAGGATCAAGTTATCCTGATTTCATTTTCAATGTTTTATGAATTTTTTTAATTAAAAAGGGAGAAGCTCAAATAAACTGTACATAGATCTATTTGGGAACAAATTATATACTTGTTTATATTGCATATTGTATATATACATATACAAATTTACACTCGCCTGAGGCGACACGAAGCTAAATTGTATAGGAATTATCCCAAAAAGTTCTTATATCCACAGGTTATCATATTTAAAGAAACAAAAACATTTTTGATACAATTAAAGTTCACATGGGTAACTAGAAAGTTATAACATGTAGTACAAACAAATTTATAAGAGAGACGAAAATACCGTTTGCATTGTCATGCTGTCATATTACTACGCTGACTGATTTTGATTTTAACATCTCAGAGAATGAAAAATTAGTTAACACTTTGAACAGCTTATAACCCGTGAACATTGACAGGAATACTATACACGGTTCCAAAAGAAAGTGTGCACTTTTTAATGTTGAATATTTAGAAATTTAGCAGACGTTTCTTTTGCAAATTTGGCATTATAAGCCCTAAGTACACAGTACATCGATCCAATATAAAACCTATCCCGTGCTGGCACGGACTTTTCGCTTTATATGGCAATACATATTATAGCATGATTTGCACGCGCAGTCCGAGGCGAAGGTACATGTCACAGGAAATGTGTATAGACATAATCCTTATCCCACTTCATAGGGAAAACACATTTAATTTCACAGCGCTGAACTGAACATGCCTCGACTGAATCAAAATCAGCGAATTCAAGCATTAATGATGTTTGCTCGTGGCGACAACGTCTCCAACGTCTGTAGAGCGTTCGGTTGTCACAGAAACACAATATTTCGGTTGCGCCAGCGTTTCCAGCAAATAGGTGGCGTAGACCCGGTAGACCGAGGGTTACAAACCCTCGAACGGACATGTTCATTACGTTGATGCACCTTCGACGTCGTTTTCAAACGGCGACAAGTTCTGCAAGGCAGTATGGTATCAGCAACAGTGTTACGCCGCCTCAGGCAAGCCCGGCAACCCATTCGGCCAAGAAGGCCCTATGTGGGACAAGTGCTTACAGCACGTCATCGGGCTGCCCGTTTGCAGTGGGCACAATGACATTTCCGTTGGGGGTGACAGCAGTGGGCTCGAGTTCAATTCTCGGATGAGTCTAGGTTTAACCCTTTCACTGCCATATGGACGGCATATGCCGTCCCTATTATTTTCGGCGTATTTGCCATATGGACGGCTTTTGCCGTTTCTATAATAATAATAATAATAGTAATAATAATAATAATAATAATAATAATAATAATAATAAAAATAATAATAATAATAATAATTATAATAATAATTATACTGATAATAATAATAAATGTAAAGATAATTATACCATCGACAATAATTATTATATACTAGCAGATTTGGAAACATATATAATTATTATAAAATTTATAATACTAATAACAAATAATAATAATTATGTTAATTAATAACATAATAATTTCTTAGAAAACCCTCTGGCAAATAGGTGATAAATAAATAAATAATCCTCTGGCAGCTAAAGGGTTAATCTTAGTCATCATGAGGTCAAATTCTAGTTTTTAGAAGAAGAGGGGAACATTTTGCTGATAATTGCCTCGTTAAGAGGGACCGATTTGGAGGTGGGAGTGTTATGGTATGAGGTGGCATTATGGGCAAAAGGAAAACAAATCTCATTGTTGTGCAAGGTAATCTCAATGCTCAAGGTTACATTAACCAGATTCTGCAGCCTGAAACTGTTCCTTTCCTTCAAAGGCATGGGCCTGCAATATTGATGCATGATAATGCAAGGCCTCATGTTGCAAGGATATGTCGGCAGTTTCTGAACAGAAAAAACGTTAACGTACTACCTCGGCCTGCCGTCTCACCGATAATCCGATTGAGCACATCTGGGATTATCTGGGTAGAAAGGTTCGAGCTAGAGGGAAAGTGCACAATCTTAGGGATCTGGAAAACGCCTAAATTAAAG